AATTGATTTAGTTAATTTTTACATTATATATATGATTATATTTTTAAATTTATTTATTTTTAATTGAATTTGTTCTTGCATTGAATACATACCCCATTTTGTTCAGTGAACTCTCGTTCAGAAGCTCGTGATGGTGTAAGTCTCGGGACTCCATACCACGCAAATCAACACCCACATTTTCCATAAGTAACGTGATCAGAGTGCCATACGCTAGTGTGAGTGTCGATCTACCCCTATAATACACCATGTGTCTCATAATATGGTGTCCTAAATTGATCCACCTTTGGCTAAGAATATATGTAAACCACACACAATCTAGACCACTAAATTTCCCAAAAAGAACCTTGCCTTGGCAAAATTATGTGATTGTAAATCCAAAACATTAACCGATTCTCCAAATTCAAGTGGTGAATGCTTAATGTTTATCCCTCATTCTACTCATCCCCCATGATAGATTTCTTTGCTGATTCCTCTATAAATGCATGCAATTTCATGGCTCCCTCATTTGGCAAATGTAAAACATCATTTATGGTTTCAGCATCAAATTCAAAAGTCTTCCTAAGAACTGTTGTTTTATACCCTTCATCCTCCGAGTCACTCAAATTTGCATAAAAAATCTTAATCAATTGCGGGTAAACCCTCACCTTTCTAGTTACTAATTCAGTCCATCCCATTACATCTAACATTTCTGTTACATGTAGCCCCCCTTTGCATATATCTTCCAAAACTACTCTAAACCCATAAATGACATTCCTATTTCCTAAATTTCTATATATTTCCATAGCGTTTGCAGATACAAAGTTTCGAGGGTTATCGGGTTGAAATACCTACTTGGTGTCTGTGCTTTCACCGCTCTCCTTAGGACTTTGCTCAGCCCTTCGACGCCTTCCAGAAGTGCTTGCCGCCTGCCCCCTTGGTTTCTTTACAATTCTTTTAGTCCTCACCATTTTGGGAGATAATGCACGAATCTTAGAGGAATGGGCCAAAAATCATGTGGGTTTGTGTTTGGGTGAGTTATTTTTGTGAAATTTGGGAAGATTTTGGCTGTTTTGAGGATTAGGTTTCTCAGAGAGTCGAATAGGAGAGAGAGGGAAAATGGGGAAAACTGGAACTGTCGCGCTTTTAATCAAATCCCGCGCCCAAGAGTCAACTATAACTTTTGAGAGTCGACTTTTTGAAGAACAATAGTCGACTCTAAGAAAGAATAATCGACTTTGAAAGTGGAAGTGTCTACTTTCCTGCAGCAAGAAGAGTCGACTTTATGTAACTAAGAGTTAAATATGTATCTTTAAGAGTCGATTCTTTAGTAAAGAGTCGACTCTATTCTGCACCAAATTGTTTCGCTACTCTCTGGAATTTGGGAGTCGACTCTAGTGCCTAGAAGAGTCGAATTTGAATTCATAGAGTCAACTTTTTTTTTTGTAATTCACAATAATTTTAAATTTTTTGTTTGGAGAGCTGAATATATAACTCCGTTTATAATCCTATAATTATATTTATTACCTTCATAACATCATATAAATGACCCTTAATATCACATAACTTCCTTCTTTACTATAGCAATTAACTTTTCCCTCTCCTCCATTATTCTAGCAACCGTTTTCCTCCATTAATCTCCCTCTCCCCCATTACTTCAGTAACTGTTCTCCATTATCTCCCTCTCCTCCAACCGTTTCCTCCCTTTTTCCTTTTATTTTATTATTATCATTATTTTTGTGTCTACTTCACACCCCAGCTCAGATTTTTTTTGCACTCTCCTCCCATCTTTTTCTTCGGGTTCATGATCGTGAACCCAGATCTGAGTTTGTGTTGATGAACCCAACTCGATCTAGCTTCACAAACCCAGATCTGGGTCTATCTTCATGAACACAAACCTAGATCTGGGCTTCTGTTCACAAACCCAAATATCAGCAACTTCACCTTAATGCATTTTTGGGTTTGTGTTCATGAAGCTTCCCTTCTCTTCTTCCTCAAAACAACCCCTTTCCTCCATCTTACATGTTGTTTAGAATTTGAAATGAAAAGGGAAAAGAACATTCAGTTAGAAATATGGTTCCATAACAGCAAGTTAGATGTGGTTGAGAAATCCATATTTTATGAATTAATTGTGAATTTCCATTTTAATATTTTTTTATAGGTAAATTTTACTTGAATTCTTGTACAATATGAAATGGATTATGAAAAATTTGTTACATTTTATGTTTGGATATTGAGAAATGTTATTCAAGAAATTTTGATTTATTTAATAGTAAAGTATTTTGTAATAATAAAATGTATATAATAAGGAAATATAAATAATTAAACTTTAATTGAACTTAATTGTAAGATAATTGATTTGATTTCAAATTTAATTTATTAATTAACTGATATTAAATATAATTATAATAGGTGAACATTATAATTAAAAATGTTAATAGATGTCTTAGTTGATAACTTTTTTGGATTTTATGGTATGAATTGTAATTATATAAGTATTTTTTTTCATGTCCTTAAAAAAAAGATAAATTATATAATTTAAAATAATCTAATGTGATTATATAATAAGTAATTATATTAAAAAAAGTTTAACATTAACCATTTATAATGTGACAATAATCTTACCTTAATTATATGTCATCAATTATATTAAAATAAAATGCCATGTATAAAATTTTAAAATTATGCAAACTCATTTAGTTGAGAACCAAAATTAAC